CCACAAATTCAGCACTGATGCTTATTCATATTAGCGCATGCGCGTTCACAGAATAAATGGCGTCGATAGGCTTTTCGTAGCTGAGAAGCTGGGTGTTGGGCTCGTAGTAGAGGTTATGACAGCTGTGATAGATGTCAGGTGATGAGTTGATTGCTCTGCATAGCATGTTCTTTAATAAGGTTTGTTCCAGCACGGCCAGGGAACACATTCCTAACTGAACGCGCAGACGCATTTTAAAAAATTCATCCCAGCAGTCCATGTTCAAGTTTATTTTAAGTAAATACTTCGTTTCTTGAAACATATAATAATAATAATAATAATAATAATAATAATAATAATAATAATAAATGGCCTTTATTTTACCTGGCGGGTTACATCAGCACAAGCTGTTTTTCAGAACCAACCAGAGCTAAAAAAAATTTAAGTACATGCAAATACAAAAAAAATACACTGAAGATAATAAGAAAATTTAAAGCAGAAAAAAAAATTTTTACAGAATCGTAGCCTATGCATGGTATAATGACCAAAAGACCAAAAGAGATACGTGCATCAACAGAGTACGTAGCAGAATCAAAAACCATGCTTAGAAGTAACTTTAAAAAAAGAAAATATTAGGTACATGGCGGAAGATATAAAAATAAAAGTAAACAGTAACAAATTCGTAAACAAAACACAAACAAATGAAAAGTGGCACGTGAGAAAACATGCACAAATAAACAAAAATAAAAATAAAATTACATAGAAATACATGCTACATGTCATCAAAGACAAAGAGCCTAACTTTTCTTTTAAAGCTGGACACAGATATAGTTTTCAAAGCTTGAGGTACTTTATTGTAGAAATCGGGCGCCACATATGAAAAGCTCTTTCTGAATTTTGTTGTTCGGTGCCGAGGCAACTCAAGAGTATATCATACAAAACGCAGGTTCGCTGAGTGATGATCACATCTCATGGTAAGCTTGTTCTTCAAATAAAGAGGCGTTTTATTTATCAGAATCCTGTGGACCAATCATAATAGATGCAGTATCCATCTTTGTCGCATACTAAGCCATTGAATATTTTTAATATGATCAGATACCCTCTCCCGCCTTTGAATACCTAAACTGAATCTTATGCAGCTGTTTTGCACTTTTTGAAGTCTGTATGCCTCGCTTTGTATTAGACATGGACCATAGACAAGGTCCCCGTATTCAAGTTTACTTAGGATAAGGGAGTCACACAGCTTAACCTTGGTCTGCTTGGACATTTTTATAGCTATAAATTGACTTTAACTTAGCATAAGAACCCTGAACAGCTTTGGTGACATGATCATGGAAGCACAGGTTCTCATCAAATGTGATGCCCAAGTTGCGAACCGATGTCTTGTGGCAAAGTTCATCACCTCCAATACACAGCTTTATTAATTCACTATTGAACTTGCTGAATTTAGATTTAATAGTTATGATAGCCGACTTTCTAGGGTTAATACATAAGCCATGTTTGTTATACCACACACATATACTATATAAATCCTTAGACAGCATCTCATTCGCTTCAGTGTACATAGCAGGGTTGTGAGATAAATCTGTGTATCATCGGCGTAGGTATGTAATTTGCAGTATTTAGTGACTTGATCTAAGTCCGCTACATAAAGAGAAAACAGAATAGGTCCAAGAATAGACCCCTGTGGTATACCTTTGGAGATAATACTCTCCTGTGATAAGATGTCACCGATTTTTACCTGCTGAATGCGTTCATGAAAATAACTGCGAAACCAATTAATCGAACTATCGGAGAAGCCAAGATAATGAAATTTTGCAAAAAGTAGTTCATGGTTGAGGCAATCAAAGGCTTTACTTAGATCTATCATGACAGCAGTAGTAACTTTAGAATTATCTATTGCCCCTATGAAGTCGTCACAGACATCGAGCAGAGTTGTTACGGTGCTGTGGTTTTTTCGAAACCCCGATGGCCTAGATGGAATTATCTTAAAGGTAGTAACGTGCTTCATCAATTGCTCATATACAATTTTTTCTAATAGTTTTGATAACACTGGAAGGATACTAATTGGACTATAATCATCAGGTCCTTCCGGAGCATCAATTTTAGCAGGAGGCCTAACGCATGGGGCTTTCCAAATTTTAGGAACTAACCCTTTTTCAAGCGAATAGTTAATTATATGAGTAATCGCTTTAAAACAAAAAGGAAACACTAGAGCTAACACATTTATATTCAAACCATCTAGTCCAACCGCCCGAGATCTTATTTTATTGAAAATCTGTAATATTTCATCCTCCGTGACCGGTTTTAACTGAAACAAGTTGTCTATAGATGGCAAAACATTGCTATTGTAATGATGAATAATACTGGTATCCACACAATTATCTGGAATGGAATTTAGGAAATATTTGTTCACTAAATCAGGTTGCAATGTGCATTCTAAAGTATGTTTAATAGGATTATGTACACCTAGTTGTTTGATGGTTCGCCACCAATCACGGGAACTTCTACTTTCTTTAAGCTGCGGTTCTATATAGGTTTTTTTTTCTCTTCTTATGGAAGCTGTTACAAAATTTCTGAGTTGTTTATAATAAACCCATTTGACATTGATCAAATCTGTAGAAAGAGAATCCCTTACCCCTTTTTTATATTTCATATATGCATTGTTTCTCAATCTCATCTTGAACTTAATGTTTTGGGTGATCCAAGGATAGCGTGGCTTTGTTACTTTTACTGTTTTGATGGGCGCGCATATGTCTAGCAAAATATTGATCAAATAATACAAATAGCTTAGCTTGGATTCAAGATCTTCGAAGTTGATAACTCCTAACCAGTACATTGATGAAGCTACCTCAGCAAATAAGTTGGTATCTAAATTCCTTAAATCGCGGATACGTATATATGTTTGCCTGTAGAAGTTGGCTGGATAATCTGTACAAAAGTATACCAAATAATGATCCGTGAAAGGTAGATTTACAGCTCCGGTTTTTGTGATGTTTAAGTTTTTATCTACGAATACCACATCTATCAGACTTCTGCTGTTATCTGTTACTCTTGTTTCCTGACTTACTATTTGATTCAAATTGAAATCCTCGAAAATTGTTGACATGAATGAATAGTCCAGGCCTTGTTTATTCCAAACATTTATATTTAGATCACCCATGCATACTATATGATCAGATGATGTGAAAACAGTAAGTAGTGAGTTTCCAGGCCTGTCAAAGCTGTATAATCAACGTTGGGAGGTTTGTACACAACACCCACAGCAAATACTTTTTTGTTTATTTTAACCCTAACCCAAAGTTGTTCAAGACCCTCTTGTGTTGCAAAGTTAAAATGAGATACTTGGAAGCAATGCAGTCCTTTTCTCACATAGAGAGCGACTCCACCGCCTCTCCTATCTTTCCTGTCACATCTAAACAACTGAAATCCTGGAACATGGATATCATTATCAATGATGTGTGGTTTGAGCCACGTTTCGGTCAATCCGATTATATCAAAATTTTGCGACAACATATGGATTCATGGATCGGGCAAGTTTAGGCATGTGCAGTTGGAAGTCAAGTGTCGGGTTAACGGTTGTAGGGAGCATGTTGGAAGTCTTGCGCTTTCTTGTTTGCGTTTATGGCTGTTTATTTTGATCACTGTTTTGTGGTTCACATTTAAAACCAAAATCATAAAGTGAATATAATTGCTTTTTAGTGCATTTCTATGTTACTGCTGTTTTTCTATTTTATTATAACGTACCATCAAGAAACTCCTAATCTCCCAATCCATGATTGGTGAAAACCAAATTAAATTTGCTTTGTTTTGTAGGTTATGAACGCACAGAGCTAGAAAAATCGTTCCAGCAAAGTCGATTCTAGTTCTTGTTCAAATCAAGTCATTCGATGTTCCGTGAAAGAAATATACATTCTGAACAAGAATTGCATATTTTGCTGGAACAAATCTATAATCTAAACGTAGTAGCAATCAAATTTTCAACTAGTTTTTTTCTGATTAGTGCACAGATATATAAACCAGATTATATCGATATTATCATTTATTGCACAATCATGGCAAGAATAACTCTTGGACTGTAAAAAATGCAACACCTTTTAGGTGGTTATTTGAGTTATTTCGGCGATGACAGAGCAGAAGTGACGACATCATAATTGTAGGACCGATTTCGCGGGAAAATTTTATTTCTCCTTATACAGGGTGACTTCGAAGTTGAGTCATTTATTTTAACAGTGAGTAGATCTGATCAAAAGAAATGTTTTTTCCTTTAACATTTTTGTGGTAAAATTAAAGTAACAAAGTTATAGCCGTTTAGAAGTTTGAGTACCGCCCTGTCTCAATAATAATATTATGTGCTCGTGTTTGGCAACAACGGATATAACCGCCTTATCGGTTCATCGCATCGGAAACAAAAAAGCGAAAGAATTTGAAACGCTGATCACGATGTTTTTATTCAGTCAATGTGTCAGTCGGTAACGCGTGAGTGAATAGTGGTGTTTGCTGCGTGGCTCAAACGAAATAAAAAATGGCACATGTTTATGCGGATCGGTTTCCCAATCGAGTGCAACCAACCCCTCGTGCCTTTGTTAATGTAGTACCACGGGCTCGTGAATCAGGTGACTTAAGACCTCACAGGGGAGGGCATGCCGGTGCTCCAAGACCTCACGATCAAATACAGGTCCGCACTGAAATACTTGTCGGGAGGATACTTTATAAAACAAGGTATTTTTTTTTTATTTTTTTTTTACACACATATTTTGGTTTATCTTCCTTCTACAATCATTATCTGAAAATTAATGACTCAACTTCAAAGTCACCCTGTATATGGAGATTTTCTGAATGTGTGAAGAACAAAAATATTGACTTTCCTATTCATGAACCATTATGCCGAAAAGCAGCTATCTCATAGTTGTGTAGTTAGGCACAGCCTTCTTCAATTAAGTTAGTTAAAGATGGCTGCGAGTTAGGCCACGTACTTTCAATTCGCACAAATAATATTTACGACTACATCCCTACCTCAGGGCGTTTGTTTCTAGGATCACGAGGCTCGCGAGCCAGCAGCAACGGTTCGATTCCTTCCACCACCAGGTCGGCCAAAAGTCCGCCACAGAACATTAACTCTGCTACAACTCCCATGTTGGAATCTGTCACCGTGGAGATCCAGCAGGTCAAGGACATTAGAGGCGATGTCAGCGCTTAACACGCTGTCTTTTTATTGACCAATTCATGTAGATTAATTCAAAATGGAAAGTATTCTAGGTTTGTATGGTAACTTGAACAAACTAGTGTCAGGGGGCAAGAACAGCCTCTTTTGTTTTTTTTAGATCATAAATATCATACCAAGTAACTGCATCAGCATAGTGATAATTACTCCAAGCAACTGGCGTCCCGCTAAGAAGTCTATAGTATAACCGAAAGACATTTGATAGTAAATTAGTTATTGCTGGGAAGCAAGTGAATGACTTGATGATCGCTGATATTGCCGTATTGTAATGCAATTCTACCCACTGGCCTATTATAACTTTAACGATTATAGCTATGCAGTAAGCATATTCTATTTGCTTTGACGACTCTAGTAGCCAGTGATGCTAGGGACCATATGATAACAATTTGTCCAATCATCACATGTTCACATTTCACTAGCGTGCACATCTTTTACTGTGCAGTGATAATATATAGTCCAAAATGAAAAAGGTAAGGAAAATGCGAAGTATGTTCAATGTCATTATCAAAGAGACCTTACGAATAATAGGAAAGTTACCAATATGTTATTTTGTAAAAATTAAAATTGAAAACGTAAACCAAATAGCTCGGACACCTGTCACAAGTGTTCAAAATGATTTAGATTTGCGAGGATATCAGATATTCATAAAACTCATAGTTTATTCATCGGTATCAATATTATTTCAACAAAATATGAATCATAGGTTTGAACGATTAATATCAAGCAAATAAAGACATATGCAAGAATTGTCAAAATGCCAAATGGCGGTTGCAAGAAGACTGAAAGGTTATAGCAGCAGTTACCATCCGTCAGTCATCCAAACCAAAGTTTGTGTTTATTATTGTCACTTTCACTCATTTAACATCAATCCATATCATCCACAATCATGTTTCTTAGGGTATTTACGTAAATTCTGTGCTGGAAAAAACTGTAGGTTGCAAAGATGTCCGCAGTGAATCAAGATTTTTGATAATTACAAGACTCTTCAAAACATCTGCTACCATGAAAACAATTCAACAATAGTGGTACCTTTGCCATTATGTACGGCAGGTCTCTATAAACGGCAATGAAAATTCATAGAACTCCTTTGAATGTCTATTAATTTGTAATTATTTCTCATATCATTTAAAGTATACATTAATATGATGAGTCGTTCAAGCATATTTCTTATCTTAATAGTGATGGAAGCACGAAATATATCACAACTTAGCTAGCACAAGGCTTAGATTTAGAGTCTAATACTTTTTAATGTGCTTTCGATTAATATGTAATATATTAAGTTTGGTGGTAACAAAAATAGTGGGAATATTTTGTGATACTACCAATGAAGGAGCTGTGATTGTATGCTTGGTAGTTTCGAGTGCCTAGTACTGGCTTGGACAGAAAGTGCTGGGAAACCTTTTTGCCCAAATCAGTATAACGTCGAACGTGCAGAGCTGTACGAATTTATAAGAATATATACCGCTCTGCTACATGTCATCCAATATAATACTGTACATGTGGAACAATGCTAGATTTGCTGACATACAAGTAACAGATGCTCACTCTATAGTGTAAATTATGTTAATTTGTTACCATGTGTTAGATTTCGTTATATAATGTAGTTCGCAGTCTCAATAAGTAGGTGTTCATACACAAAATTACTTCAAACCGCGTAATTACCCAAAATATCTGTATTCTGAAGGAACGCAAGCTTTGCTTATCTACTATACAAACACTATGATAAACGATAAGGTAACTTTATAATATAAAGCTTGAAATCTTTTTACTCTTGTACTGTACTCTTGTACTATATCAATATTTTACTTGCTAATTCTTTTAATAAAATGCTATGAAATCAAAAGAATACAGTGATTTCCTTGACCATCCTAATACATCCAGATTCAGAGCAACAACAAAACATAGAGGGGAGTAGAAGATACGCTGGACATGTCATAGTGATTAGTTAGTAAAAGGGACCATTCTCACCAAAAGCAACTGTCAACCGCAACCCGACCGTAACCAGAATCGGCATATGTTTTCAAATAAAAACGTTCACACCTAAAAGATGGCAACCCGACCAATTGCTAGACGATTGCTGGCAGTGCTGTAGCTAGTCAGTTTGTATTTGCCCACCAGTTGATGAATGGTGCGGATGTATTTGTAACACTTCAGTTTACGTTCTGACCGTATCTTCAACCATTAATTGATATGCGGATAAAAGTAATTCTGAATCACGTTTTTGTGTTCTTTCAAGTGGTTCAGTTTCGGCAGTAGTGTTCCGTGAGAGCTAAAATTGATACAACAGGCACGAGTGACCATCAGACTCACGAAATATCTTCACAAAGTATTGAAATTGCGCAGATCCTTCATTGTATTTATATTAGTTATATATTGGGAATTTTCAACATCTAAGACTGGTCATGTGGTTTTCATGATGATAAAATTCTATGTTCACATTCGTACATATGTAGGTGGTTTCATTTAGCGACAAGAAGAACGTGGGAGTTTTTACTTCCCACGACAAATTGCAATCGCGAAATGTAATATTTTTTGTGTTAGAAAAGTTTTACCGGATAAAGTTATAATGATAGTGTCCCTATTTTTCTGATTTAAAATATAATATGGTTTTTACTACTCATTTTCATTAGTTTGGCCAAAAACTTGTGTGTCAATTACTTATGTGTATTAAAGTTCGAAACAGTTTGATGTTTAAATGACACAAAAACTAGAGTAATAAAAATAGGTTTAACAAATCATATGTATTTAGAGTCAAGGACTTTCACTGAAAACACAGAGGATGATCCATTTAAAAAATACAACTTTATTCGAAAGCACTTTACCGAGTATACAAAAAATATTACATGACTTCATATTAGACCCTATAACTTTTTCTTCTAGGTCATATAAAAAAGTTATAGCCGGACACCCTAGTCTGCGAAAATCGGATATTTTCAAATGTTGGCCTAACACACAAGGTTAAAAATTGCTTTAAAATAAACTAAGCCTAAAATACTCTGCAGTCTCTTGTAGGGGAAGGTTTGAACTTTTGTTTAAACCATTGATTCCCAAAGTGGTCTATATCGACCCCTAGGGGTCTATGACAACCTGCAAGGGGTCTACGTGAGCGAACAAAAATTTGGGGGTCCATGAAATGTATATGGGGGTCCACGATAGTGGATCTCAACACATACACTGATAGTACCTATTTACTTACATCATACTATCTTATAATATCAAAACATATATTATTTATAAAAGTACCTATGAAGTAAAAAATTTATTATATATGTTTATAAAATTGTGTAAGTTGTAGGATGTTGGTATTCGCTTTGTGGTCGCAATACATTTTGAACTTGTAAAAACCTCAGAGTCGCAGTCTCAGAGCTTCGCTACCTTGCACTGACTTGTTCAATTCGTCACTCTATAAATACGAATGTGGGACAAATACGTTTATTCGTTTCCTGAATCTTGAAAAGGAAAGTGCTAAGAAAATATTTTAAAAAATATAAACAGATATTATATCACACAAATTATAGTGAGTCAGTGTTATTTTGTTTGAGAGTGCTGGAGAAAAGTAAGTACATTCTTTTTGAAAGTTTTAGCAATCGGTAATATAATTACAGTACAATCTCCGTAATTCGAGCTAATTGTTGCAAGATGTTCGAATTATGGAATGTTTTCGGAAACATCAAAAAATATTTTTAATATACAGCTGCTGGATTTTCTGTCTTATTTAAATAATTTAATTTTGCCCACAGATGACTGATGCCATGTCCGAATCTAAAAAGAAATGTAGACAATACAGTGTTGATTATTTGAAATTTGGCTTCATTCCATCATTGCCGGACAAACAATCGCCTATGTGCCTTTTATGCAACAAAGTTTTGGGCAATGACGCTATGAAACCATCAAACTGCAAGATTATCTGAGAAGATGCCACCCTGATAAAACAGAGAAAGATTTGAAATACTTTCAAACACTCAAAGATAAATTTTAGAAGAGACCTACACTGGACAGAATGTTCGCTTCGAAGTCACAAAGAAATGATGATGGTTTGCGGGCGTCTTACAATATCTCGTTACTTATAGCAAAATCCGGAAACTATCAGAGATAAGTTGATTTTGCCAGCCGTTGAAGAGGTTTCAAAAACTGTTTTACACAAACCTGCATCTGATATCATTAAAAGAATTCCCTTAAGCAACAATACTGTTGAAAGACGTATTGATGAAATGAGTTCTGATATTGAAAGCTCATTATTTGCAAACGACCCATTTCTCTATACAACTGGACGAGTCAACTTTACCTGATAATGCAGCATTATTATTGGCATATGTTCGTTTTATTATGAATCAAGGAATATACGAAGAACTGCTCTTCGCAAGAACTTTGATAACCGACGCTAAAGGTGAATCAATATTTTATGTTTTGAAGGATTACTTCATTGAAAAAGCAATTCCTTTATCAAATATAATATCAGTAGCTACAGATCGAGCACCTGCCATGGTTGGACGTTGTCGTGGATTTATAAGCTATTTAAAACAAAATGTGTCAGGGGTGTTAGCAATACATTGCGTCATCCATCGACAACATTTAGTTGCTAAAAATTTGAGTGTTAGATTGCATGAATCACGTCATTTAGTCATTGATGCAGTAAACCGAATCCGAAGCAACGCGTTGAATACGTGGTTATTTGCGCAGTTGTGTGAAGAAAATGACGAACACTTTCATCAATTACTCTTTCACACTGAAGTACGCTGGCTGTCGAAAGGCTTATGTTTGACAAGATTTTTTGCACTTTTTGAAACTATTTTAGAATTTCTGGATACTAAAGATAAAATTTTAAAAGAAAATTTAATGAAGAGGAAAACAGACATCGCCTATTTAACAGATTTGTTTACAAAATTTAATATGGTTAATTTGCAATTACAAGGCGACAGTTTAAATTTGATTAAAACAAAGTCCATCTTATCAGCGTTTCTTGCCAGAGTTAAACTAATGAAGCATAATATTGGACGGGGCGAATTTTCTCAGTTCCCCAATTTGTCACAGACAAGCTGTCGGGAAGACGACGTTTTTGAACTTACGTTCAACATTTAAATGCCCTCTATTCAGACTTTGAATCTAGGTTTGAGGATATTTTGACTATGGTAATACCACCGTGGATAATTAATCCATATGGTGACATAGAAGAAACGAATGTCATAATAAAAGAGGAACTGACTGAACTAAGTACAAACGAAGAACTTAAGGTTCAGTTTAAAAACGGATATCAGCAATTCTGGCTGCAAAACAACATACCCGTTACTTATCCCGTATTAAGGAATATAGCGAGGAAATTTTTAATTTCCTTTCCTCTCCTAACGAAAAAAAGAAACAGACTGGACATCATTAGCCGAGGAGATTTAAGATTAACCCTTACAAAATTGACGCCAAATGTTGATAATTTATTATTATTATTAAAGCATCAGGTTCATCCTTCTCACTAAACATATTGACTTATTGCTTATGTAATTTTGTTTATAGTTTATTTTATGTTTATTGGTGTCTGACCAATAAATGCCCACATTGGGAATAAGTGCCCGCATTGATTTTTTTAAAGAACCCCCCTTTATAGAAAATATTTTTTTTAATTATTCTGAAAATTCAAGGATACACAAAAATTCGTTAATTTTTTGCCTATTTTTAGATAACTTAAACGTATAAGAAGCGGAATTTAATCAAACTAACAGTGAAATTATTGTAGAACATACGTTTATGTTATAATTTATAAACGAACCCGCTTATTGTACTATTTTAAGTAAAAAAAAGTTTGGGGAACTCTGGTTTAAACAATCTGCAACCTCAAACCATGAGGCACTAAAGATGCCCATTTTTAGACTATTTAATGCAGTGACTCGCTTGTAACTCGAAAAATGTTTAAACAGAATTTCTGCAGGTTACCGACCGGTAACCTCTAGATTCTTGATGAGGGCATCCAACAGACGTTATTATGAATAAAGGGTGTTGGAAAAGTCTGGCAAATAGGAGGTTTTTGCTTCATCTAATATACCAGCATCTGTTCAAAACTCATCACTGAGAAAAGTCAAATTAATCAATTTGGAATAAGTAATTGTAACTGACAAACAGTATACAGTAGGTACCGAGTACGACAAATAATTTTGTTGAGTTTCAGTCTGAACACAGTTCCGTATGCACTAACAAGGAGGAGTCTCCAGGACCGGATCACGGATTCCATGTTAGGCCCCTGGGTAGGTTTTAACCTCCTAGACACGAGTTCGGAGGTCGAGACGTACCCACAGGATTTTTTGAACGAAATTCGTATTTCAATCCTAGATATCCCTCCTTGTAAAACAAGTGGCAGAAGGTCAATGTAGTAGTTTTCTTTGAATAAAAGATAAATTGTGTTACCACGTCTACGAAAACCCAATGTTCTCATTTTGTCAGCATCTGTAGATACACCTGCAAATTAACTATGAATAATAAAAACTTATTTGACTTAAAAATAAATATATTTACAAATATTTATTCATATGGAGAGCAGAAAACAAGCTATTTGAACGATTTCTTCGTCCTCCAGTCTAAGAATTCATCAAACACATCCAAACCCTCATCGTCCTCATCATCGTTATCACCTGCATTCCTTGTATCACTCGCCACTTTGATCTCCTCTTTCTTTTTTTCAAAATCTAATACTCTGAAAACAAATTTTCACAATTAAAAAAAGGTTAAGGTAATATTTCTCCCTACAGTCTAAAAGTCTGACCAATTAAAGAAAATTGTTAAAAAAATTGCTGCCTGGAGAGCTAGTATCGCGCTTCTATTCTGGGCTGCGTTCGTAAATTGGTACATAGTTTACTTTGTTCTATTCTGTATTGGGATATCAAAAAGTACTCCAAATTGGCAGAATATATATTTTTCACGATAAATGGGCTAAATCTTATCAATAGCGCTCTTATAACAAATACATTAGTCGCAGAAGGCATGGTTAGAAAGTGTCATTATATGACTCTGTAATAATTTAGAAGTTCTAAAAATAAAGTTTCACAGTATTACAGAGTAAAATTTCATGTCAATCTACATTCCATTACTGTGTGCGGTATAACATTATCAAGTGATTTATAAACGCACCCCAGAGGAAATGCAAACGACAAACGGAAATATATCTTATTTCAGATCTGTGCCGTCGGCTTGACCCTTAATGAGATTTCACTCACGATCTTGCCCCATAACCGTCGCGCTTTTCCCCCAATGTCGGAAGTCAGGACACACTTGTCAACGTTGCGCCGAGCCCTTCGGCGCTTTTGCGCTGCTCAAGAGTGTGTTCCTCAGTGCGCTTCGGATTTTGCTGCCGTACCGTCCGCTAAATATTAACGGCGTGTGCCGTTCGAATCGACCCCTCCATTTATCAAACTGTAATATTTGTGAAAGACCAGTGCGTGATACGTGTTTTGTCAATAAGGTAGGTCGTACTTAATATATATTACTAGGTAGCATGCAGTAAAAGAGTGTAGGCAGACCCAGATTGTGAGCACCTAGACATAACCTTGGGGCGCTTAAGCTGACTAATCCTATCGGCTTGTCATTACATCCATAGAAACTATTAAGGCCCGAAGGGTTACAATTTATGATGGCAAACTCAGCGCACACTGCCTGTTTTGCAATGTCGGCTCAACATCTCGAGCCGCCGGCTCGAACATCAGAGACGTCGGCCCACCTACTTGAGACGTCGGCCCACTTTCCTGAGACGTCGGCCCACTTTCTTGGGACGTCGGCCCATTTTCTTGAGACGTCGCCTCAATCTCCGAGCCGGTGTGAAAATTGTCTGACCCTGCGGCTCCAGCCGAGGGCTCGATTCCCCGAACCGTCGTCGGGTTTAAACGACGGCTCTGCCGAGGAGCCGCCGCACATGTGCCTAACCCTGAGCGGGGGCAAACCTATAAGGATGTACACTGCCATTCTATCTAGGTCTGTACGTTAATACGAAGCTTTTACCTTGCAGATGGTATCACCAGTAGCTGTGACTACACTCCGGGATCTGTTCGACAAACAGGCAGAATCAACGAGTGATAACATCATCCTAGATAGGATCAAAGCTCTGGGTGTGAAACATCTCGCTGCAGGATGGAAAGAATGGAGAATAGATAGAATAAGCTTAGATTTGCTCTACCAACAGTAGGCATAGCACGAGCGTTCAACCCTACAATCTCATGCCTTTCAGAAAAAGCATATCGCGACATGAAGATCAGAATGCTAAACTGGCCATTTTGTCTGGGCCTTGTGACGGCACCATCAAGTCTAGCCGCAAAGATAAGAGGCTCGATAGCACAGAACGAACCAGTTCTGGCAGCTCTAGAAGATATGAAACATTTAATGATTTCATGGGAAGAAGCCTCATCACTCCTATCTGAGGATCTTTCGGATCAGGGAAGCAGCTCTAGTGAGCAGGTAGCTAAACGCTCAAAGAAAGTAAGCAGAATTAAAAAATTGGAAAAAAGTCTCAGAAATATCCATAATGAGAGATGCAGCGCCAGTAGACTCCGATATATATTCGGAACATCCAGACTCAGAAGATGAAGTCCCTTGGTCGGCTCCAGACATCCACCAGGAGGATGACATGTGCGTGGACTTTACTCCCATTACGAAGGAACAAGAACCAGCTATTCCACCCCCAAAACCACATATACTGTTACAGGGTAAGGAATGTCAAATACTTGGACTCGCCACCTTCAACAAAATCAGATACTCAGAGGTACAGAAAAAACTCCAAGCCGCACCGGTTTTCTCAGCTTTGCGAGTTAACCCACAACTTTTCCATCAAGCTAGCGCGTTGCAGGATTTCCATGCTAAAATGGATTCGTGCCTAGGAACTATCTCTCACGGATTACTTCTCCAAAGAGATGCCTTTACGAACTCTATTAAAACCATAATGGCCAATCACCCGTCAGCTAGGGATGACATCCAGAAATTTCTGATGACATACTCAATATACCTGCGGTCGACGTGCTGAGGCCATTGAACAAAGGCGAAAATCTTTTAAGCCAAAACATGATGCAGTTGCTTCTCAACTAGAAAACATCCCCCCATCAGAAACTTTCATTTTCGATGAAGCACAGTTTGAAGATTTTTACAAAATACATGGTCGGTTTTTTCGTCCCAGCACGCAAGGCCGTACTCATATAACCACAGGATACAACAGAAATACCCGTTACAGTGGACATCCATCAGATTCTAGACAACCTGGATCTCGTGAAAGAAACGCACAGCAACCAACAAATTCCCGCAGTTACACGAAAGCTACCCCCAAAACTTACAGAAAGCGTCTCCAAACAACACCCATCCAAGAAAACTACTTCATCAAACCGTACGAGACGGCACTGACAATCCTTTTCAAGGGGCATGTTTATCAGATTACGTCGAATTCTGGGAAGAGATGAAAGCACCACACTAAATACAATAAAGGGGTACAAACTACCCTTCGTCAAACGTCCACCATTAACAAGTTTCAAAAAGGGGCATCTAACAAAAAATGGGCATGGAGGCAGAAGTAGAAACGATGATAAAACAGAGCATCCTAGAGAAATCGAGTTCGTCGACGGGTTTCGTATCCAAAATGTTCCCTCGGCAGAAACCAGATGGGAAGATCCGACCGATTCTCAATTTAAAACGTTTGAACCAGTACCTGGAAATTTCGAAATTCCGCCCAATCAGCCACCTGAGGGTACCGGATTTCTTGCAAGAAGAGGATTTCATGGTAAAACTAGATCTGCATCAGGCATATTTCCACCTTCCCATTTACTCCAATCATCGTCGCTTTCTCTCAGTAGTACACAAGGAAACTGTCTATCAGATGACATGCCTCCCATTCGGTCTGTCTTCGGCACCACTTACTTTCGCAAAAATATCAAACTGGTTGGCGAACCAACTGCGAAATATGGGAATAAGAGTCATCGTTTACTTGGACGATTTTCTATTATCGAACCAATGTCAGGAAACAATAACCAGGCAAGTGCAAGAGGCCAAGCAATTCTTAAGAAGCTTGGGGTGGCACCTAAACCTGGACAAGTGTTCGGAAAACCCAAAGCAGCGGATGGAATATCTAGGAATCATATGGGACACCAAAAAGGTCACCACCTCACTTCCTCTACGAAAACGCAGGACTCTAGGACAAGACATCCGAGCCATCTTGAAAAATCGTCAGTGGAATTGGATGAAGGCAAAAAGACTCTTAGGAAAACTAAATTTTGCCTGCAGTGCGATACCACTAGGACGGCTACACACCAGACACTTGCAGAGGGCCAGCCTGCTCCTGTCCGAGTGCTCGCGAAGAAAAAAAATTCCAGTTCCAGTATCTGCTCTGACCGAATTCAGCTGGTGGCTGAGGACTCTGAAATGCGAAACGGCGATGTTTCGGAAAGCCCCCACAGTTTTTATCACAACGGTTGCATCCAACATAGGCTGGTGGGCGCAGATAAATCATACGCTAATCAGGAAAACGTGGATGAATCACCAAAAACCCTGGCACATCAACAGGAAGGAATTATATGCGGTATTGGCGACTCTCCAATTCTCTCAGAGCAAGCTAAAGAACCGATCAATCATGATACAGTCAGACAACAGAACGGTGGTTTCATATATTCGGAATCAAAGTGGAACCAAATCCCTTCAGATGCTGGACCTCACACATCAGATCCTTATCTTGGCCAACCAATTAGAAATGGATATTCAGGTTCAATACATTCCGAGTGTATTCAACACCACAGCAGACAGGCTGTCTCGTCAAAAACCTCTTCCAGACTGGCACTTATCACGGAGAGTCACACTCATGATTTTCAAGAAATGGGGTACGCCCACGATAGATTTGTTTGCGACAAATCGATCGCGGGTTTTGCCAGCCTATGCTGCAAGAAATGCCAAAGATCAGCAAGCAACCTTCACGAATGCCTTCAGCAGGCAGTGGAACTTCCAACTAGCATAGATATTTCCTCCTCCATGCTTGATCCCACGAGTGCTGCGACATCTCAATCACGCTTCAGAAACGTACATTGTCATAGCGCCGAGATGGGAAAAAGTTTTCTGGAGAACAGATCTAAAAGGGCGAACGTTAGCCGCTACCCTTCATATACGGAATCTGCACCATCATCTAATAGACTTGTCGACGAATCAACCACTCTCCCAAAGCCGCTCACTAAGACTGGAAGCTTGGAAAATACGGGGTAGGCAAGGGCCCTAACTCATTGGAAAGAAAAAGACATCCAACTGCTTACTAGCTCCTGGAAAAAGTCATCGTTGAAAACATATTCAGTACCATGGAAGGAATGGCTAGCATGGTGTTCTAGAAACAACATTCCACAAGACCCCTCTCCCATACCAACTAGCACAATACCTGGGATTTTTACACAGGGAAAAGAAACTCGCCCCCTCAACAATAAAGCTCTACAAATCCGTTGTAACGGTGTTTGCCAACCCTATGAGCTCGAAAAGACTCGCTGAAAATCCCATAGTAAGGCACATGCTTAAAGCGATCGATCTGTCAAGGCTTCCCGTCACTAACAGGAAACAGCCGTGGGACGTCAACAAACTTCTATCATGGTTGGAAGCTGATGATGTCGATAGAGGTAGCATATTTCAAGTATCTCGTCACTTGTATGTAATCCTCTTACTAGCTTCTGGTCGTAGGATCCATGACCTGACTCTTCTCAAAGTAGACCAATACTCCATGGAGTTAAAGGATGCCACCGTTATTCTCTGGCCAGAATTCGGCTCAAAGACAGACAAGAGCCTGTATCGCCAATCAGGATGGTTCCTGAAACGGTGCTCCAAGACACAACATGATCCGGTATTCTGGATACATCAGATGGTCGTAGTTACATCTACTCGCCGTAAAGTCAAAGACGGGCTTACCAACTTATTCATAACGACCAGAGGTCAAGTGAAACCGGCATCCCGCACTTTGATAGCGGGATGGATTAAAACAGCATTTAGCGAGGCGGGAATCTCATTTCCACCAGGCAGCATCAGGTCAGCAGAGGCATCAGCAAGATTTGAAAACAACGTCCCACTGGACATCATTCTGAAGAAGGGCAACTGGCAAGGAAGCCAAAACTTCTACAAGTATTACTATAAGGAAATTCAAAAACCTTCAGTACGAGAAACACAGACTGATTTAATACAAAGTTCCTTCTCAGTTGCGTGATAGGCTTATGCTGTAAAGGAAAAGGCAGATAGAATTACATATATTTTTCGAATACATATTCTTGTTATGAATCAGAGTATCACTTTTAAGTTTTGTTATACGTGCCAGAATAAAAGATTTATTTACAGTACGCACAAAATGCGTATATTTTCTTTTTCTCTTTCTTTCTTACTCACAG